TTTTAGGGGATTTTTTTTTTATTTTGTTTTATATATATTTTACATCATTTTTCATTTTTACACAATGTATGCATCTTCATCTTGGTTATAGCCCCCATACAATCCCCTCCCTTATTTTGACCCTAATCCCTCCTGCCCTTCCCCGCCCCTGTAGTGTGTCTCTGGTTTATAGTTGCTTGGGAGCTGGAAGGGATCATGCTCAGCAAAGTAAGCCAGAAAGAAAAAGAAAAACATCGGATGGTCTCACTCATAGCAGGAATTTAGAAGACCTAAATAAGGGACCAGGAAAAAGCCTAATTATAATAAAGTAAAAATCTAGTGGCACTTCTTTACTTACTATTGCTTCATAATATATTTCTAAATCAGGTAACATGTTACCTTCATTTTTCTTTTTTCTCAAAATTGCTTTAGTTATTTGATGTCTTATGGGATTTCTTATAAATTTTTAGCATTTTTGTAATTACACATTAACAGAATGAAAAGGAAAAATAATATGAAAGTCTCAATAGAAACAGAAAAGATATTTGGCAAAATCCAACACCCATTCAGAATAAAAACTCTCAACAATGGGAAGAGAAGAGAACCACCTCACTCTGATAGAAGTCATCTAAGAAAAATCTAGAGTTGACATCAGATTTCAAGGTGAAATATTGATCAATTTTCCTCAAAGTCAGACACAGCATAACATTTTTTCATTACTTGCATTTACCTTTGTACTAGAAACCAGTACAAAAGGCAAGAAAATGAAGGATATAAAAATTGGAAAAGTCAAATGTTCATTATTTACAGATGACAAGATTGTTTACACAGAAAATCCTAAGGAATTGACAGAAAAACTTCAAGATAAATATAAATAAATGAATTTAGCAAAGGCACATGACACATGAACTACATAAAAAAATCAATTATATTTCCATGAGTAACAAACAATAGAGAATGTTTTTTATAATAGCATCAAAAATAATAAAGTATGTAGAATAAATTTAACCCCCAAAATGCAGAGAAACCACAAAACACTGCAGAGAAATTAGAGAAGACTCAAAGAGAGATTTATAAACCAAGTTCATTGATTGAGAAATAACATTGTTGACAATTTTCTTCAAAATGAGTTTTAGATTCAATGCCATTACAACAGAAATCCTACCAGGAATTTTTGTAGAAATAAGCTGATTCTAAAATTTATATTGAAAAGCAAAAGGCCTACAATAGACAAATACTCTTGAAAAAGAAAAACTAGAGGACTTATACCACTTAGTTTCTAGATTTACTATAAAAGCTACAGTAATCAAGACAGTAAGTATGGTATTAGTAAAAGAACAGATGACAGATAAGTAGAGCAGAAGAGTCAAGAAATACACTAAAACACATAGTCAACTGATTTTCAACAAAAGCACTCATTTGGTGAAGCTATTTGGTGAAGGAAAGAATAGACTGGTAAGAAGAAATGTTGCTGAAAATACTGAATAACTAATGTGGGAGGAGCTAAAAGGGACCCTAACTCCTACCTCACATTAAACACAAATATCAATTCAAAATGGATCACAGAACTAAAAGTAAAAAATAACTAAAAAGCTCCAAAAAAAAAAAAAATAGAATATCTTTGCAATTTTATGGTTGTAAGACAAATATTTCTTAGGCTACCACAAGCACTATTTGCAAAAGAAAAAAAATACTGCTCTTTTAAAGACATTGTTAAGAAATGAAAAGCAAATATTCTCAATTCAACAAAAACTTATATTCAGAAACATAAAGAGCTACTATAATCTGACTCTAAAAATGGCACAAAATTTGAACAGACATTCACAAAAGAAGACATACATATGGCCGAAAAGCACACAAAAAAGTGCTCAACATCATTGTCAGTGAAATATGAATTAAAATAACACTGAGAAACTATTTCATATTCACTTAACATGGCTATTGCTAAAAAGACTGGCAATATCAAACATAGAGAGGATGGAAAACAACTGGAATTCTTATATATTGTTTGTGAGAATGAAAAGTGGGACAACTACTTTTGAAAAACAGTTTGGCCATTTCTTATAATATCAAATATCTATCTTTTGACCCAGTAAATGTATGCCTAAATATTTATCCATGGAAAATGAGCATATATTCACAAAGTTTTTTTATAAGATTGTTCATAGCAGCTTTACTTATTATAGCCAAATGCAAACCCAAAAGGTTAAACAACAGGTGAACAGTTAAATTACGGTAAGCCCATACAAAAAAAATACTAATCAGAAGCAAAATGTAATGAACTCTGATTCATGCAACATGGATGAATCTTTGAGACACCACAGCACATACTGCATGATTCCAATTACTTGAACGAAAAAAACTATCCTTAGATGTTAGAAATCAGAAGAGTGGTTATCTTGCAGAGGGCAAAATAAGGGGTTGACTGAGAGGCAGCATGGTATCTAAACATTAATATGGATTGTGGTTACACAGATGTAGGTATTTGTCAAAATGTATCCAATTATACACTTAATATCTGTGCATTTACTGCATGCAAATTATGACTCAATAAAAGTCTACTTAATTTTTTTATATTAAATATCTGTAAGAAAAGTACTACAGTAGAAAGGCAAAGGCTTACACTCCCTTTCCCCCAGAGTACCTAAGAGTGCACAGACAACGCTGAAGTTCCTCCTGAAATACACAGCTTTGGTCTAGTGTTTTGATTTTATCATAAATGATGAAATCTTGTGCAATTAAATTTTCCTTAAAAATCCAAATAATCATTCTTTATTCCCTTGTTTAGACAATTAAATAAGCCTATTTTTAAGATGACTATTTTCATTCTATTTCTACTGTTCCTACTATCACTGCTACAGATTTTCCAAAAAGCGAGTAAGGAGACTAAGAGGGGTAGGGGTAAAAAATATTATCATCAGAAAATATACTGTTGCAATTATGACTTGAATGATTTCAGTCACTTAATAAAAGCTATTACATGGCTGAAAGGGAAAGTATAAAATCTTTAGAGGCACAGTAGATTAGTGTGTACTTAGGTTAACGGGGATGGGAGGGATAGTAGAATGAAAGTTAAATGGCATGGAGTTTCTATTTGCAGTGATGGAAATGCTCTAAAATTGACTACGGTGCAGATACACTAAAATTTATTGAGTTTTAGATATGAAATGGGTAAAAAATCTATGAAGTATGAATTATATCTCAATAAAAATTGTCATAACAAAAAGTGAGATTTTGATCAGATTGCATTGGAATCTATGCATTAATTTAGAAAAATAGTTCTCCACAATATTGATTTTTTCAATATGTGAAAATTATGTATTTCTGTATTTATTTGGGTCTTTAGTACAGTAATGTTTTTATAGAATTCTACACAGAAGTCTGTATATATATTTTATTAGATTTGTTAGTGGGTATTTTATATTCCTGATTTGATGTTTGTATAGTAGTTTTTAAAAAAGAAAGCACTAACTTGGCCTAGTATGAGAAAAGAAAATGAACAGAGTATGATATACATACTAAATCATCAAAATGTTAAAATAAAAAATAACTACATATGATCTACTAATTTTTCTGATTTTTAAATTTTTATAGAAAAGTTATACAAATATGTAAAATTAAATTACATTTAGTCACACATTAAGCAAATCACATTCATGAAAAAAGGAAACTCATAAATCTGCAAATATGCTGGAAAATTCTATGACAGGTGGATACTATATAACAAATACTGGTTCATAATTATTAGGTTTCTTAGCTTACAGTGAAAACAGATGCATTGTTAAGTTTCAGTTTCTATATTTATTAGTAAAATGTTTTCATAGCAAAGAAATTTTATTTAACAATGGCTGAGTTTATATCTAAAGTCAGTTACAGGTGGAGCAAGGGGTTAAGCACTACACTATGAAGTAATCTGCAGCCTCCACAGCACAAGTTCAATCCCTGGCCAGCCAGGGAGCAACCCACATGGTGCAGCAGACATCTCCTGTCTCGTCCACTGCTCCCCTCAGCAGTGTGTTTCAGTCAGTCTGCCTGTTTTGTTCCCCTCTCTGTCTCTGGTGAATCCTCTCACTCCCCTGCATCTCTGGCCTGCACCCCAACTCTTGTATGCATCAATCAATCAATCAATAAAGTCGGTGACATTTAAAGTGTTTAGGAATGTCCATCCTATTGGTGCTACAGAGAACTTAGTAACTTTTTAACTCAAGTTAATTGAAATATTATCTACTACATTAATTAGTCCTCTAAAGGCAGATGGTAGAGTTTTTCTTTCATAAAAATAAATTTCTTTTCTATAAAAATGAAATAAAAATATAAATCACATTTGGGCTTCAAGTTAACTTCTCCTGAGTTACCTAATGTTTCTGCATTTCAGTTTTTCATCTACAAAAGGGGGTTAGATGGAAATATCTCTAAAGTTAGTCCCAACTAACTTTAAAATTCTATTGAGTATATAAGGAAACACATGGTTTATAGAATTCTACACAGTATTAAACCACATGGTCATGTCATACTTTAAGCAAATATAACAATGTACAAAAAACTAGCTGTAGATAAACTGAAGGACTCAGTAATTATTAGTTTACACAAAGGATTTTTTTTATTTCCACCCCAGAATTAGAAAATGCCCTAAATATAATTTATACTTAAATTTATAAGTTTTTCAAAAGTCTATCTAATGCTTACTGAAAGAGCATATTCATCATATTTTTCAATCATAATTTTTTTCTCTACTAATAATCATAATTATCTCACAATATTAGGGTAAAAAGCACAGCATATGGGAACTCTTATAGGAGAAAGGCCATTTATAATTTTTAGAAATTTCAGATATTTTGAAAACTAACTAAGTAAATAAATAAATAGTAAGTTCATAAATGGGGCTGCTCTATTGTTGGAGTGATATGAGAGATAGCACTTTATCTCAAAGAGAATCTCAGAAACTATGTAAATAAGAAATTATATATCAATAACTAGCTATAATATATTCATTAAAAAAGTATTTGATATGAGAATGTTACCTGATCAATGATAGAATTTAGCTTGGTAAGCAACAGAAATCCTCGGCCATGAACAAGGTATTGTCCAAGCGTTGCCATGTGTGTCTCCTCCTCTTCTTCCTCCTTAGCTTCCACCCTCTGGACCACTGCATTGCAAAGCCGGTTGACATCTGTCAGAAATTCACGTGCCAATGAATTACTGTCCGTGCTCATGACCGAGCTATAGAATAAATATTACAAAAAAAAAAAAAATTAGAAAAGCAAAAATTCACTTTTAAAATTATGTATTTTTATTGTTTGTCTTTTAATTGAAGACTGACTTTAAATTGCTGGGCGTTGGTACATATTCTATAATATTTCCAAATGTATTCTGGAAATATAATCTAGTCCATTACTCTTTAAATAGTCCCATATCACAGAAATCAGTTCTTGGATTGCAATGCCTGTGAGCATAACCACAAATGAGTAAGTGACAGCACCTAGGTAGCAGATACTTGTGAATGGTTAACAGTTAAGGTAGATCCTGACTTTCTTAAATAGCCTCACCATAGAATAAAAATAAACCTACTACTTAAAAAATATTCTTGTTTTACATGTTCTAAGAGATAAATGGATCCTCTAAAAATACAATCTATTCAGCACTTGATAAGAACCCACAATCACTAACTCCCTCCCCCAAACACCAGAGTTCAGTTAACGGCAGTAAATAAAAGAATATATAATAAAGTGAATAAAAACTGAAAAATTCTAGCAGTTGAAATTATACCTCTTTACTTCTTACTATACATCTGAATTAAATAAAGGGCAATGTGACATGTTAAGATTAAAGAAAAAAGCAAGGTAAAGTAGACAAAAGAAGGGAAAACACAAATATAAAGAAAAAATATATAAATATTCAGAAAGGAAAAATCTCCAATAAACAACAAAATCCCCAAAGAACTTTCAAAATAGTCCGATCTTGGGGCTAAAAGTTGTTTTCAGAAATCCAATACCCTTTAAAACCTTTTTAACCTGGAGAGGTCAAATTAAATGAGATGTGTCGACCTTCACCCACTATCCCTGTGCAGAAGGCAATGCCTACTCCATGGGCACTTTCAGCCTTGGGGTCCTAATCAACTGAACCACACTTAATTCAGCCCCCGAACACACTAGCTAAAAGATGATGTTTGTGAGGTGCTGCTCACCAACAGGCTCTGGACCAATCAGGTTTTCTTTCTCTCTCATAGAAATTTGAAGTAAGGGACATAGTTGATGTACTGAAAAGTCACATAGAAATGTGTCTGTGGTAGTCATAGTGAGGTAGTTAAGGTTCAGAAGAAGCTGAGTAGATGAAAATAAACAAGATAAAAAGAGAAAGAAATAAACACAAAAAGGAGATAACAAAAAATATTTCTAATATTACTTTGGTTTCTGATATTCTAGGGCCTGATGGTTTAATTCTTGGATTCCTATCAGTATTCTAGGTATAATTACAATAATAATTGCCTCTTTAGTATAACAAATATCATTATTTTAAATATTACTTGGCAGAGGAAAAATGTTGAAGAAGAAGAAATGTACACTCATTATTCCAAAATGCATCAATAATCTCTATTATATAAATTATTAGTTCTTTCTATGCTTTCATAAAGTAAAATTGTTCAATAAATCAAACAACCCAATTTATATTCAGCCCATAATTATCTGACTTTATTAAGTTATTTCACCTAATCTACCAATGATATTAAGAGACATAAATTATGGAGTATATCACACACATGCAAAAGCTACAACACAATGCATTCTTATTAATTAGAATTTTCCATATACTATCATCTTCTAGGCCATCAAGACCATCTATCATGCACATTTCTTAAAAGTGTTACTGTTGCTGGGATTTTTTTCAAAGATGCTGATATTCTGTAAGTTATGTTGCTGCTGCTTTCTTGATCTTATCAGACAGGATCAGTACAGAGTCTCAAAACAACCAGGAAACATGTAAAACCCATCAGATATAGTGCAGACTATGCATGCAACTTAACGGAAACACTGACACTGTGTACAGCAATGACGAGGTCCACAAATGAATAGGCAAAAACAACTTCAAATGTGTAGCTTACTGACAGTGCTTATAAGACACCATCAACTAACTGGAAGTCACAATGCAACTTAAGAAATATTGAAAATGAAAAATGGGAGTAACATTTCTAAAATGGGAACAATGGTCATTCTTGATAGGCCCCCCTCCCAAAGTCAACTAACAACTACTCAGGAACAAGACACTACTAGGAGAGTCACAGAACTTGGGAGTGAGGTTGAATCATTTCCCTGCAGCTCAGAGACCAAAACAGACTGCATTAAATGGGTAAGAGAAGCAGCTACAGGTTAATTGTATTGATCCTCCCCCGGACTACTGGATCAGCACACAGAGGTCTCTGCTGAGTCTCTAATTCCCCCAGTGGGAAAACAGAAACCAGAGGGGGCCAATAAGTCTCTCCCCAGTACTGTGGGTAGCTTTTCAGGAGCCTCTATACTAATACCACTGGGACTGCAGGAGAATCTGTGGGACTCAAGCATGGGAATCTGACTGGGGAGGGAAGGAAAGGAAGGATTTTCAACAACCATCTTACAGCATCTTTGCAGACCAAGTTCAAGGCCATGGAACTTGGTGGGACACAGATTTGCCTGATTCTGTCAAGACACTGGTTTGGTTTGCCTATGTGCCCAGGCAAGGTACTGAGTCACCGCCCTACCCAATGTGGAGAGTGCTTCTGCACCCAATCTAACCAGAGGACTGATAATTCCTAGAAACTGTAGGCCCAGTGGGGTTCAAGTTGAGATGCAGGCAGGCCAGAGTTGATAGCTCCTAGAGAAAAGCCAGGATGAGTGGTGACGGCTTCCTGAGCTAGGCACAAGTAGGAGTATTAATTTACAGTCAAGGCTGAGGGTAGCCTCGAGCCCCTCCCAACTAGAAAGCTGTATAAGGAATTGTCTGGAGCAGCCCCTCCCCTTCCTGCCTAGACAAGCAGGATGACAAACAGCCCCAACTGCTATGGAGAGTACCTTCAAGCCCTATTTGATTTGAAGGACCAAAGACAAACCCTGGAAGCTATGTGGCTCAGTGACCCTCAAGCCCAGAGAAAGGCAGACAATATTTTCAGAACAAAACCAATGGCCCTATTTTTTCAGGGCACGTGGGTACAGATCAGTTGGAGTTAAAACAATAGAATTTTTAGACAAACTTTAATAAAAGGGTTTTAGAACTGATTATCCTGCTCTGCTCAGACAGGAAAACTAAGTCATAGCCTGGTTTATGGCTGGCTGAATACAGCCTTTAGCCTGCTAGCTCAGGGAACCTAATGAACACACACAAGGTAGCTATGTAGCCCATTCAGTAGTCCAGGTACAGTGCCATACTAGCAGAAAGCACAGCTTGTGGCTTCCCCCATCTGTAAAGCAAAACAAGTGGCCTCACCTAACCAGGCAATTCAGTTTCATAGCCAAGCCTGATTTGGATCCCCAAACCATTACTTATACAGGCCCTGGGGCTTATCCTTTTGCACCTACAAAGCAGAGAAGCTAATCCAGAGCCCCATCAACAGCTCAATACAGTATCCAATCCTGACCATCTAGTAAGTCTCACCAGAGAATCCAGGCAGAGCCCATCTTACAGCTCCACTTGTATAGGTAACCAAAGCAGTAGTAGTCCTACCCAACTGTTCCCAGCCAGTGGTGCACACACCCATGCCTGTCCTCAGAGCTCAAACAGTAGCCTTGCCTCAAAATAGACCATAATAGCAGATCCCTCATGCTAAAGGACATTACCAGCAGACACACCCAGAAACCCAAAGTGAGCCAACTGTCTCTGCCAAAGAAAACCTTCAAAGTTTGGAAAACAAGCCCGATTACTAGAGAGAGGGCAATATAAGAACTCAAGAATGGAAAAAAAAAAAAAAAAGGCAGGTAAAAAATGACAGTGACAAAGGAAGTTAATAAAGTTCCAATGACTGGCATGACTGACCCTACGGAAACGGAGAGCTATAAACTCTAAGACAAAGAATTCAGAATAATCCTCTTAAGGAAGTTTAGTGAACTACAAAGACAACACAGATAGCAAAATTAGGAAAAGAAATGCATGAACAAAACAAGATGCTCAACAAGGAATGAGCAACCATCAAAAAGCAAAACAACACAGAAACCCTAGAGTTGAAAAATATAATAACTGAACTGAAGGATTCAATAGAGCATTTCAAAAGCAGACTTTGCTCTTTTTCTCCACACAGAAGGAAAAATCAGCAACCTGGAGGACAGCACATTTGAAACTACCAAGGCAGAGGAGCTAAAAAAAAAAAGGAATGAAAAGAGTGAAGAAAGCCTGTGGGAATTATAGAATGCAATGAAGCGAAACAAAATTCACATTAAGTGAATTCCAGAGAAGAGAAAGGGAAAGGAATAGAAAGTATATTTAAAGCAATAGTGACAGAAAGCTTCCCAAACCTGTCACACAGCTATGTATTAATAGTGTCAAAGTCTTAGACTGAAAAAATATTTTGACTGCTAATATTATTACATTAAATACTTACCAATTGTTCAACACTGCTGTAACATTTAGATTCTTAATTTGTGCTCATCAACTCTTGAAACAAATATTCTTAAAGTCTCACCTACAAAAAAAGAAAATTTATTAATGACAATAGTAAAACAAGAATACTTTTAATAAATAAAACCCTCACATTGAAAAAGTTGCTAATCCTCATATATGACGTGTGAAACAGCCTAGAAACTTTTTTGAACCTCAGAAGCACACTAAAAAATGCCCACAGCTTGAAGAAAGTAGTCTTGAGAGAGGGAGTCTTGAGCATATTTGATTTAAACAAGCAACTTGATTGTAGTTACCTATCCCTTCTCTCAACACTCCTCACTCACAATCTCCAAGTAACTATAAGAAAGGAGAATCAAAACAGTAGAGTCTTCTTAACACGAAAAGCTAAGAGGCAGTTGAGTATCATCTACATACAATGAAGAGCCAAGTTATTACACTCCTTTAAGTATGATGAAGAATCAAGGATATATAAGAACTCAGAAAATACTAAAACCAAACAATGAATAAACAACCACCTAATTTTTTTCAATGACTTAACCTTTATGTATCACACAATGAGGGCTATTTCTGGAATACTGAAAGACAGATTCCTACTTCTGTGGTAGCAATTAGATACTTCTCTTTATTTCTCCTTTACAGTTTTTATCAAGAAGAAGCATGAAAAATATTTCCTTATTACAGTTAAAGGCAAACAGGCAAACAGAGGTTTATTTTGAACCCCAAGTTTTTTAAAAATAAAGATGATCTTTAATTGCTTCAAAATGGTTGAATCTAGAGAACTACTTGAATTTCCTTCAGGTTGGCAAACATTTCTTATACCACACACTTTCTAGGCACTTGAGGATAAAGTAGGCAGGAAGTGGGATAGAACTGCTGTTAAGAGTACATAGGGCTTGTGTGAATTAGGACAAAAACACTTCTTCCCAGGCTGGTGTGGCTCCACATCAGGCACACAGCTATCAAGCACTGGGTAGATTTCAGTTCTACTCACCCACTTGGTTGGTTGAGCACTCATATGAACTCGTGCACCAACTGCTCAACCAAATGGAACTGGCCAGGAATAAAGTCTCAATACACCTTCCACACCTGCTCCAGCTGCCCTCTGAGCTAATCAAAAGCATGCATATATTTTTAATTCCAATATTATGGAAGAGGAAATTATCAAACAAAGTATTAGCACAAAACTGGCATTGTATTTGTTGCTCTGACTACTAGCACCCTCTAGCTTGGACTACTACAAGATAGAATTTTCTATCTTGGATCCCAGCTAACTCAGCATGGCCATTAGAAGTGAGAGCTGACAGAGCCATCTGTTTCTCTTATCAAGGATTATTCCTAGGCCAAGTTGAGGGATTTTTCTAATGCTCTTAAATTGTCATGACTTCTTTAGCGCTCTGTTTTCCAGTGCCAGCTTGGACAGCCAGTTTCATTCTATCCAAGTACAATCAGTTGTGCCTACCTTTACTTTGCCATCATTCTTTATACGGCTGTATTTTAGTTTTTATCACTTCATGTTACACTGAGGTCTCAAAAGTCTGGAGTTACAGTTTTTGTTTTTTTTTTTAACACAGATTGAAGATGTCCTTGAGGCATTATATATATATATATATATATATATATTTGTCTCTGTTTCCTAATTACATGGACAAGCTGCAGTTAACAATCTATATGACAGTCTTACTCCCTCCCCTGAGTTTCTTATGGCCGGCAACCCCGTCTTATTACTTATTGCACTTTATGGCTATATGGCAAAATTTTAAATTCGTCCTCATTATTGTAATTTTCAAATTCTAATTGAAACTCCTAATTATATTTTCATACTAAATAAAACTTGGTCCCAATAATATTACTGGAAATTTTATATTATTAAAATTTGCCATAAATGAAAAGCATAACAACAAAATGCTTATAATCATATAAATCACCTTTTCGGGAAAACAATTGATTTCACTTTCTCTAATACAGTGACTGATGAAGTATAAAATACAAATGGCCAAAACAAAAAGCAAAAAACTGGCAATGTAGCTTTATGTCATCAGAAATGTAACCAATATTTAATTTGTATAATTCAACAAATATTATAGAATATTTAGTGTATGTCAGCTATTTTTGGCACTAGGTATAGAGCAAAGAGAAAAATCCCTACCCTCCTGGATTCTAGGCAGGTAAAGACAGATAAAAAAATAAATATATTTTGTGTCAGATAGTGCTAAATGTTATGGGAAAAAAAACACAACAGAATAAGGATATAGAATGATAGGAATGCTACTTCAGATAGGGTGAACAAGGAATATCTGAAGATATATGAGGAAAAACCTGAGTAAGAAAATGAGCCGTGTGGGGTACCTGGGAAAAGTATTTTAGGGCAATGACATTAATATGTTTAATGCACTGGCTATTGAGTGTAAAAGAAAAAGAGAAGTTAACAGTCGCTATGAAGAGTGAAAAAAGTAGATAGAAGTGTTCTCCTTGAACTTTTTCTCCCTAAAAATGAAGGTTTCCTTCCTGTCCCCCCTATGTTTTCCCCAAAATACTACCGGTTATGCCTTTGTTTTTAGCCCATGTAAAGAATAGCATTGTTTACTTACAGGTAATACTCAAAAAAGAGGAGGTTGGAAGGGAAAATAAAGTTCAGTTTTAGTTAAGCTTGACAAGTGTCTTAGAAACCAAGTAAAGGATACCAAGTACATAGTTGGGTAAACCAAATTAGATTTCAGATGGAGAGGCTGAACTGGTGAATCAATTCGGCAATTATCAGCATATAGATGTATTTTAATGAGACTAATGAATAAATAACCCAGAACAGTGCTGTCTTGTAGAACTTTCTGCAATGATGGGTCTACTGGCTACAGAATTGAACATTAGGAAGAAAGCAGAGAAGACGTTCTAGATTTGACCCTTTGGGTTAGCATCACGCAGTCAGGAAGAAGGGGAACATCTCAATCCAGGAAACTGAGAAGGATCAGTAAGTGAGGCAGGAGAAAAACCAAAAGAGTGATACCGCCCAGAAACCAGGAGAAGAAAGATTGAAACAGGAAAGAATCAACTGTGTCAAATATTGCTGAGAGGTTCAGTAAGATTAAGACTGGGAACTGATCGTAGGATCTAGCAACATGGATGTTACTGACAACCCTGTCTGTTAAAGAGTGTCTCAGTGGTGTGGGGAGAACTGATGAGGAAATGGAGGCAAGGAGTTTAGACTGTTCTTTTGGGAAGTTATGCTACATATGTTAAGGAAATGCAAGGTAGCGTCAAGGGGACACAGGATAGGGGAGGTTTAAAAAAAAACTGGAAATTTGTAGGATGTTTGTAAGCTGAGATATCAGAGCATGCTTGTGTAGTATCTTTCTCCAACAGAGCAAGGAAACAGGTGAAAAACCAGAATGAGAGGAAGTAATTCCAGGAACAGTAAGTAAGCAAAATGAAGAGTATCCAATGCACAAGTAGAAGGAATAGTGACATTTCATTAATGGAATAAGGATGACAGAGTAGAAAGATTAGTGTATCAGGTAGGGGGAGGACTAAATTTTGTACCCTTCTATTTTCTCAGTGAAATAAACTGCAAATAACCAGCTGAGTGTAAGAAGTGGGAGAGGTGTTAAACTGGTAAGTGAAAGGCAAAACCAGCAGCTTCTAAGATTTCCCAATAGATTGCCAATAAGTAACTACAATTGAGTTCTGTTGTTCAAGTGTAGTCTAATTCTCTATCATGGACCCAAGAACAGAAGGATAAAGTAGATGTCAGATATTGTAATCTAGATAGCTGACAGTGCTACATTTTCCTGTATAATTTGTATATACAGAATTTGGGTTATCTGGAATGAATATTCCTAGAGAGTCCCTGTAACCTTTACAGATCACCCTTTTCTTCTGTAAATATTTATAAATCTTTTAAAATGATTGTTAGAATCTTTTGTGGAAGTGATATCAAGCTCACTAAAATCTATCAATATATATATATTTTTTTATAATTTTGGAGTTTTATTCCTCCACAGTCTTCTTAAAGTTTTCAGATTCATCATGATTACTCAAAGATTAAGCAATGCCATTAACACTTTTCTCAAGAGCTGAATCTGAGATGTGAGCTCAGAGCAGTCATAGGTTCTGGTAAAATAATCTCCTCTCTTTTCATGGGCTTAAAATTTCTCCTCTTATGCTTACCTCCACACTTAGTCTCTGCGTAATCACTCTTCATGTCAGAGAAGAGAGACAAAACAGAAGCTGAGAAGTTTCATCTGTGCTCTGTATCTGATTACAGGGTCAGTTTGTTACTAAGAATCTATTATTTGTTGTTTTCATCTTCTATATATGAGCTGTAAAAGGTCATCCTTAACCCATTTTAAAACTTCAGTTCATAACTCTCCTAAGGTTCTGTTCTTCTTTTATAGGTTTTGTACATATTTTGTTTGTTTCATATTCTTTTTTTCCTTCTGCACATGTTATTTTAAAACCTAAGCTCATTTGGTCACTTTATCCCCTCTTTTGCTTCACATATTATTTCCAGTTCAGTGAAGACTGTATATAGTCAAGAAATTGTATCCCTGGCACCTCATCCTTTTTTTTTTAATTTAGGAAATCTGTATTTCCAATTCTCTATATTCCAGTTTTGCTCCACATTCCTTTTCCTATTTATTATTTATTAATTCAGCTATCATTTACTAAATAGCTACTTTGTATCAGGCACTAAGAATATAAAATGTAAAAATAATCTCAGCATCGCCCCTCAAAAAGATTATATTATAGTGGGAAAGGCAAACTAATGCACAGGTACTGTGTACTGACAAGGGACATTAAACCAATTTGAGTGGTCAGAGAAGCTTTATGAAGAAGGCAATCTTTGAGTAAAATTTGAACAGGTAAAGGAAGAAAAGGAGAGGAAAAAGGCATTACAGATAGAGCAGCTCAAATCATATCTGAGAGAATTACAATAAGTTCAATATCAAAATGCAAAGGGAAACAGAAAACCCAGGATAATGTAGTGAGCAAGGATGATTAAAATGATTTATTGGTATGCTGAAAGATCAGCAGAAGCTGAAAACCACAATTTTCTGGTGGTATCAA